GATGGACCAAGAGAAGAGACCTGGATCCAGAAGAGCCTCCTCAAAAGCCTTCACTAGTGTCTGCTGCCCCAACATGACCCCCAACACTTTGATCTGCTTTTAGCTTTAGCAAAAGGCCCGCCCATCTCAGCCTTCTCCAGAGCCCTGCACATTTCTGTATAATAACTTACTTTGTCTTCTTGAGCTGCCCTTTGAAATATTCTTCTCAACTCGTGTCATCAGTTTTTAAAATTTGCGTTAGCTACTCTATTATCAGTAAGACCAAAAAGATATGTATTTATGCTTTATTGTTTATGTAAAGGTATTTGACTGTGTGGGCCATAACAAACAGTGGATAACTTTGAGAAGAATGGGAATTGCAAAACACTTCCTTGTGCTCGTGCAGAACTTGCCCATGGTTCAAGAGACAGCTGTGTGAACAGAACAAGGGAATGCTGCATGGTTTAAAATCAGGGAAGGTGTGTGTCAGGCTTGTATCCTCTCACCATAAAAAGCAGGGAGGTTAAGTTGAGGTCTAAGGTGTACCTGACCCAAACCATGGTATTTTCAATCGCCTCATAAGCGTGTGAAAGTTGGCAATCCGATGGGAAAGCCTGTAGAAGAAATGATGCATTTGAATTATGATGCTGGTGAAGAATACTGAAAATGCATAGACTGCCAAAAGAGCAAACAAGTCTGTCTCGGAAGAAGTACAGCTAGAATGTTCTTTAGAGGCAAGTATGGCAAAACGTTGTCTCTCTTGCTTGGCCCTGTTGTCAGGAGAGACCAGTCCCGCAGAAGGACGTCGTGCTTGGTAAAGTGGAGGAGTGAAAAAGGGGAAGGCCCTCAAAGGAGTGGATTGACACAGCGGCTGAACCAGTGAGCTCACGCATAGGGACAATCGTGCGGATGGTGCACGGCTGGGCGTTGTTTCACTGGGTTGTACATAGGGTCACTAAGGGTCAGAACCAACACCTAACAGCAACACCTCTCGGGAAGAAGTCGCAGAGCCTCTTCCGACTTCCACTTCCACCTTTTCTTTCCTGACTGTTTGTAACACTGTGCTTGTAGATATATGATGTTCTTGGTATCATTCCACAGCTCGTCAGATTTTCTGTCATTAGTTTGCAATGTATTCTTGAGATATTTTCTAAATTCAAGTGGCATATACTCAAGATTATATTGCTTTTTGTGGACTACTTTTAATTTTCTTCAGATTCAAACTGAACTTCTTGCGGGCTGGTCACTGTTGCATAGCTGACTTGTCTCTTTCTGTAGATACAGTCGGCTTGGTTCTTCTTTGTTCCACAGTCTACATGTATAGCCACCATTTATGCTTTTGGGAAAAAAATGGAGAAGTCTTGATCTTTCAAAATTCTACCACTCAATCTCTGAGTTTGTGTGTATCACCCAGGTCATATTTTACAAGTACTGTTCCTTTCTCTGTGTTCCCAACTTATCCGTTCTAAAAACAGGCTCAGTGCCATCAGGTCTGTGCTGAGTCGTAGCGACCCTCTAGGACAGAGTAGAACTGCCCCTGTGAGTCTCCATGACTGTAACTCTTGAGGAGAATTGAAAGCCCTGTCTTGTCTCCCACAGAGCGGTTGGTGGTTTTGAACTGCTGACTTTATGGTTAGCAGGCCAATGAATAACTACTATCCCAGGGCTCGTGATTCTCATTTGATTAATTTTAGACTGAAGAAGTTGGTACCATTCTTCAATTTCTATCACTAGCTATAGTGGTTGGTACATACACCAAAACATGGTTGTAATAAATGGATTTGCTTGTATGCATATGGGTATCATCCTATTATAGTGTCATGCCTCAAGCTACATCCTACATGGAATGCCCTTTTTCACAGACAACAAATATAAAAATTTCCTCTTGATTTATCATTCTCAGTAAACTGTGATTGTCTGATTCAAAATGACCAACACCAGTCCAGTTCAGCTCCCTAACGCCTAGGATATCAATCTTTTGTGTTCTGTTGCATTTGGACGACTTGCAGTTTGCCTAGTGAGTTAGTTAATTGTGCCAGCCTGGCTGATAATCACATGTGGTGCTGGTTGAAAGGTGGAGGGATAAATGGGTGGTGGAGCCTCGCCTTTCGAGTTCTCGGGTCTCTTGTTTTGTGATGGTTGCTTCGGGTGCAGCTGCCTTAGCAGTTCCCTGCTTCAGCTTGCAAGATGGATTTCCTACAAGACATCCCCAAGGAGAAGCCGCATGGATCTATCCCGATGCAGCCCTGGGTGCTGGAGCAGCCATGTGGAGACCCCTGCCAGTGCTGAGATGCTTACACGTTCACTGACTCAGCTTTCCTCCTGCAGTCGGCATTATTGCCTCTGTTTTGTGAGGTGAAGGACTTTGTGGACTGGTGTTGGGTATGGGTTAATGTTGGACTTGTGGGCTTGGGCAGCATTGGGTTGGGATGTTTTCGTGATGCACATTTTCTTTGCATAAAACTCTCTCTTATACCTGAGTTGCTGTGGATTTGTTTCTCCAAAGTACCTAGACTAATACACCTAGATTCATACTTTTGCACATTACAAATTCAGATTATTAGTAGATATTTATAACTGTTTCTTCACATCTTGAGTCATGACTCATTAGCAAATGAGGAGTCGAAAAGCTTTCTTTCATGCACATTATTATGATCCACTCCACTTCTAGAACCCATCTCTTCCTCAATCCTATTTTGAATGCCTTTCAACCCAAAAGGTTCATCGTCTGGCACTATATCTTAACAGTGTTCTACTTCTGTTCATACAATGTTCTGTTTTTCTGTGATCCACTGCTGTCCATGAGGTTTTTGTTAGATAATCTCTGAAAAATAGCCTATTTCTTCCTCAAAGTCTGTTTTTACTTTGGAAGCTTTTCTGAAGGCTGTCCATATTAAGTGACCCATTTGGTTCGTTGAAATGGACCAACAGATGAAGGAAATCTGTCTTGGAGGAAGTGCAAGCAGAATGTTCCCTAAAAGGAAGGATGGCTTGATTGTGTCTGACAGACTTTGGACATGTTATTAGGAGAGACCAGATCCTGGAATAGAGTACTTCAGGGCAGGAAGTTATTTAATGTGAGTTTTCTGGCCACAAGCTTTATAACTCCCACCAAACAACCTTTTCCTCATGGCCTGGACAAGAGAACATTGGGGAAGATGCTGGTAGTGTTCAATTGTGAGCGCCTGTTAGCAGGATTCATTGTTACAGCCATCCTACAGCCATTGAGCTGCCTGAGGGGAACCTCTCTACTTGCAAGAACCAGGAGTGGCTTGTGGACTGTGCCCTCCGGATCAAGAGATTGCTGCACAATGAACCCTCCTTGATCCAGAAGACAGCTTTGACATCTGAGGAGTGGCAGGAGAGCAGGAGCAGCAGAACCAGGAGTCAGAGCATGAAACAGAGCAGTGAACTTCCCCAGCCACACAGAAGTAAAGCTGAGTGCTTTTGAGAGTAGCCTGAATTGTGGCATGCGGTGCCTCTGGGAACCTAATTAAGGGAGCCTGGATCACTGATTCAAGGAGCTGGAGCTGAGTGCTGTTGGTTTGGGGTCTACAGGGGTGTAGCATGCCCATTGTGCATGTGTTAGCAGCCCTGAAAGACCTTTGTGGCATGTAGTGACTGAACTACTGTATTCTGAACATTTCCACCTAGATTGTAACCCTGTGAACTTTCACAATATGCCCTGTATCGTGAGCATTGTCTGTCAGTTCTATGGCGCATTTCAATGAATTATAGTATCTAGCAGGAATGTAGAGAGTGTTACTCGAGCAAAACATTAGCATTATGCTTAAGAAATTGGGGAACGAAAGGGGAATACCGTCAAGGAGAAGTATTGACAGAGTGGCTGTCACAGTGGGCTCAAACATAAGTGTGAGGATGGTGGAAGACTGGTCAGTATTTCATTCTGTTGTCCATAAAAATCGCTGTGAGTCTGAGTCAGAACTACCCCAGTGGCAATAACGACATGACCCTGCCCTTTGGGTGGGTGTGCATCAGAGTGGACTCAGTGGCAGTGAGTTTAAGTTTGTTGTTATTAGGTGCCTTTAAGGCCTGTGTCCAATAGAAGGAAACACCAGCTGGTCCTGCATCATCCTCACCATTGTTCTCATGTGTGAACCCATTGTTGCAGCCACTATGTCAATCCAACTTATAGAGTGTTGTCTTTGCTGCCCCGCTACTGTATCAAGTGTGATGATCTTTTCCTGTGGCTGCTCCCTCCTGCTGACATGTCCTGGTTCTCAGTACATAAGTCAAAGTTTCACCATCCTTGCTTCTGCGGAGCATTCGGCTATACTTCCTCTAAGACATGTTTATTTGTTCTTTTGCAACTCATGGCGCTTTCAGTGTCCCTTGGCCGCACCATACTTTATGTGCATTGATTCTTCTTCAGGCTTCCTTATCCAGTATCCAACTTTCACATGCCTACGGGGTGATTGAACATACCCCATGGCATGGGTCAGATGAACCTTGGTCCTCAAAGTAATACCCTTACTTTTCAATACTCAAAAGAGGGTTTGTGTGACAGATTGACCCAGTGCAGTGTGTCACTTGATCTCCTTACTGCTGCTTCCATGAGGTTTGCTTGTGGATCCCAGCAAAGCAAAATCCTCACTAACGTAGCTTTCTCTTCATCTCTCATGATGTTACCAACTTATCGGTCCAGTTGTAAGGTCCAGTTGGTTTTCTTTACATTAAGTTGTCAGCAGTTTTGAAGGCCACGGTCTTTGGTCTTCAGCAGCGAAGAGTGCTTCAACACCTCACTTTCATCAAGCAAGTTTGTATCATCCACATATCGAAGGTTGTTGGTAAGCCTTCCTCCAAAAAACGGGGTCCCAGGGTCATACTAAGTAAATTCATTGTATTCCGCAGTGGTACATTTTGGGTCTTCTTTACCACTTTCTGGACTTTAGTCATAGTTTCTTCATTCACTGCATTTTATGGTTCCGAATCTCTTGGTTTATTTTGAAAATTTGCTGTTTATCCTTAAAATGCTTGAACTGTTGTCTTTTGTAGGGCAGCATTCACATAGCTCTGTTGCAGAGTTCAATGATTTTAGAATTCTACTTGAGTTTTCATGACATTTTCTTCTTTTTTTTTTGACATTTTCATATTAGCCTTGACATCACATTCATTATTTTAACAATTCCATATCGCAAAAGTATCCCTTTTCCCTTTATTTTCAAAGGCACGCTGCCGTAAATAAGGCACGAATATTACAGAGGGAATTTGTCTGAAGTGATTCACTGATGGCAGAGGTACATTTTTGCTTTGGAGAAACCAATGTACGTATATGTTAGAACTCTAGTATTAATACCCATTTTTCTTACCCTTGTGTAGAGGAAAAACACTATAATTGTCCTTAGTCAAACTGCAGAGATAAATCTGATGTGATTAGAAATATTGTTAAATCGATGGATGTAGGTACTGCCAGGCAGGCATTATACGCTAACAGCAAAGACAAGCCTGATGTCCAAGCTCTAGAAAGAACACAGAACTTTGCATAATCTTCTTATAAATTTTCTTCCCCCAACCTGTCAGCCTCACCCATCCTTTTGCACCCAGTGGGATATGGTACCTTGTTTACCCAGAATGTGTGTGATATTTAGGACTCAGTGGTCTTTGAGGATGTGGCTCTGGACTTTACTCAGGACGAGTGGGCTTTGCTGGATGTTTCACAGAGGAAACTTTACCGAGATGTGATGGTGGAAACCTTCAGGAACCTGGACTCAGGTAGGGATGGCTTCATTTTCCTAGTTCATCTGTATGTGAATATGTTACCACACACTTTTTCACTTGCTGTCCCTTCATCCTCCTGCAATTAATTCTGAGTAGTATATCCTACTCTTTCACCTTTTTCAAACGGTTGGAAAGCCAGATCCCTCTGTCTTTCTTAGCTCACAGATGCTGTGCTCCTCATTACATTTCTTTCTGATTTTGTTTTATATTATGAAATTATTGGGTCAGTCTCTCAACAGGTTAATAATGGACAAAAGAGTCCCAGTGAACATGTCATAATGCAACTCGTGAAGAATGACTCTTGGTTGTCCATATTAGGAGAAATCTCTGGATTCCGTGGCAGTGAAAATCAGGACAACAACCAGGAAAGGCCTTTGAGGTATCATCTCTATGATTGTCTGTGTGTGTGTGTGTGTGTGTGTGTGTGTGTGTGTGTCAGTAACTTCATATATGTTTACTTTTCTGAAAATACTGTTTCCATAAATGCTACTCAGATATTGAGATGTGTTAAATTTTGGTGTGATATCTTTTTTTTAAATCATTTTTATTAGGGGCTCATACAACTCATCACAATCCATACACACATCAATTGTGTAAAGCGCATTTGTACATGCATTGCCCTTATCATTCTCAAAACATTTCCTCTCCACTTAAACCCCTGGCATTAGGTCCTCACTTTTCCCCTCCCTCCCCGCTCCCCCCTCCCTCATGAGCCCCTGATCATTTATAAATTATTATTTTGTCATATCTTGCCCTGTCCTACGTCTCCCTTCACCCACTTTTCGGTTGTCCGACCCCCAGGGAGGAGGTCACCTATAGTTCCTTGTAATCAGTTCCCTCCTTCCTACCCACTCTCCCTCTACCCTCCCTGTTTCACCACTCACACCACTGGTCCTGTAGGGCTCATCCGCCCTGGATTCCCTGTGTTTCCGGTTCCTATCTGTACCAGTGTACATCCTCTGGTCTAGCCAGACTTGCAAGGTCGAATTCGAGTCACGGTAGTGGGAGCGGGGAGGAAACATTTAGGAACTAGAGGAAAGTTGTATTTTTCATCGTTGTTACATCGGTGTGATATCTTATTGAGAAGGCCCATTTCGTAGAACAGTTGCAATTATGCCTGTGCTCTCTGAGACACTAGAGCCTATGGAGCAGGAGACAGCTCATGGGACAGAGTGTGCATTCCATGTGTATAGTAATGGCAGGAAAAAGTAAATCTCATTAAATACTTTTATTTTCAACAGAAATTGTATGGTAGAGAGCATCCCAGCAAATGGAGTAAAGGAACACAAATGTGATGAGAGTGAAAATGTTTTCTGCCGGACTGCAAGTCTTACTGTGTTCAAAGGAATTCCTGAGGGTAGGGATCATAATATCAGATCACACACAGGACACAAACTGGACCAGTGTGAAAAATGTGGGGAAACCTGCAGTTGTTCCTCTTCTCTAAAACTGCGTTCAGAAACACTTAATGCAGAGAAACTTTGTAATGATACAGATTGTGGGAAATTCTCTGGTTGTTCATCACACCTCACTAAGCATATGAGACATCACAGTGGAGACCGGCCTTGGAAATGTAAGATATGTGGGAAAGCTTATAAGTATCCCTCAAAACTTCGTGACCATACAAAAACTCATACTGGAGAGGGGCTTCATAAATGTAAGGAATGTGGTAAAGGCTTTATTCATCCATCAGGACTAACTATACATAGAAGAATTCACACTGGAGAGAAGCCTTATGAATGTAAAGAATGTGGAAAAGCCTTTAATAAATCAGGAAATCTCGCCACACATATTAGAACCCACAGTGTAGTGAGACCTTTTAATTGCAGGGAATGTGGGAAAACCTTGAATGAACCATCAGTGCTAACTCAACATATAAGCACCCAAAGTAGAGAGAGGACTTATGAATGTAAAGATTGTGGGAAATCCTTTAGCTACTTCAAAGAACATCGAACAAAACGCACTGGAGAAAAGCTTTATAAATGTAAAACTTGTGGGAAAGCATATAAGTATCCCTCACAACTTCGCGTTCATATAACAGCTCATAGTGGAGAGAGGCTTTATAAATGTATGGAATGTGGAAAAGCTTTTAGTCAATCTTCAGCACTAACTTTACATAGAAGAACTCACACTGGAGAGAGGCCTTATGAATGTAAGGAATGTGGGAAAGCCTTTAGTCAAATGTCAACTCTCGCTGCACATGTTAGAACTCACAGTGGGAACAGGCCCTATGAATGTGCAGAATGTGGGAAAGCCTTTAGGGATTCATCAACACTAACTCACCATAAAAGTACTCATAGTAGGGAGAAGCCTTATGAATGTAAGGAATGTGGTAAAGCCTTTAAATATCCCTTATCACTGGCTGAACATATGAGACTTCACAGTGGGGAAAGACCGTATGAGTGTGTGGAATGTGGAAAAGCCTTTACCCATTCATCGTCACTCAGTAAGCACAGAAGAACTCACAAAAGAGAGAGACCTTGTGAATGTAGTGAATGTGGGAAAACTTTTCATAGTCCTTCATTACTAAATAGACACAGAATAACACACAGTGGAGAGCGGCCTTATGAATGTAAGGAATGTGGGAAAGCCTTTAAATATCCCTCATCACTGACTGAACATATCGCAGTTCACAGTGGAGAAAGACCTTATGAGTGTATGGAATGTGCAAAAACCTTTAGCCATCCCTCGGCACTAACTAAGCATCAAAGAACTCACAATAGAGAGAGGCCTTACGACTGTAATGAATGTGGGAAAACTTTTCTTCATCCTTCATTACTAAATGAACACAGAATACTACACAGTGGAGAGAGGCCGTATGAATGTAAGGTATGTGGGAAAACATTTAATCAATCATCAAGTTTAAGTCGACATAAAAAAATACACAGTGCAGAAAGGCCTTATGAGTGTAAAGAATGTGGGAAAGCCTTTAGGGATTCCTCAACACTTTATCATCATAAAAGAAGACACCGTGGAGAGGAGCTGTCTGAAAATGTCTGTAATGTGGAAAAGCTTTAAGCACTCTTCAACATTGAGTGAACAGAAGCCACAGTGGAGAGGTCTTCTGAATGTGAATAATGTGGGAATTAGTCCTCATATCTCAGGAAACAAGAATGTTCACAGGCAAGAAGCTTTTTAAATGTAAGGAAGGTGGGAAAACATTTTGTTGGACTGAATCCCTGACCCAAAGTAGTTCACAGTATAGAGAGATCTCAGCTACTAAGAAATATGGGAAAACCATTTGCTGTTTCTTACTTGAAAGCATGCATGATTCATCGTACAGAAATAGAAATGCAAGTAGTATGAGGAAGTTTTATTCTTATGCCTCACTAGACATATAAGAGTCTCAGTGGATAGTGGACTATATCTGTGAGAAATGAGAGAAATTTCATCAGGAAACAAAAAAACCTTTTCCTTTTTTGTTGTTAGATACCCTTCGGTCATCCCTCATCTTTTTGGAAACCTGGCAGTACATGTGAGATAAATCAAACTAAAAAATTAGAAACAAATTTTTACTTTCGCCTAATACTGTCCAAGGTGATGAGGATTCATGCATAAGGAATAGTCGTCAATAATTACTGCCTCCCTTTTTGATATATGACTAGTGATCATTGAAATTACTCGTGTAGGGAGCATAGAAACATCACACTCTGGGAATTTTCCCCCCTTTTAGAATTCTTTACAGAGCTTGTAAGTTATTACACTATGAATTGATCTCATGAATGAAAAAGATGAAGAAACCCCTTCTTAGTACCCCTTTAAGGCATCAAAAAATGTAATTGAAAGCAAAGTACCTTTTAATTATAGCACATGGCTTTAGATAAGTACCATAAAGTCATTTTGCTTTTCATATATTCTCACATAACTGGCTTGGAAAATCCAGTCAACCTATGGATATCATATAATGAGCTTTTTTTCCCCAATTAACATTTCCCTTAAAAAATGTTTAAGTTGTGACGTAGATACAAGTTTACATTCCAGTTCATCTTTACAGACACCAATTTGAACAATTTAGCAAACCTCCCAATAGCTTGCCCTACCCACGCAATATTCTCAAATTTTTAATTTGAAGAAAATACCCAACAGTGCTCAGTATCCCACATAAGGGATCATTTAGCCTTTGTAAAACAGCACTGTTTGGGAATTTTTGGCTGATTGTATAGTGTTGCCCATTGTTTGTATGGTATCTTCTGGCCACTGATTTACTTTGTGTCTCTTCAAAATGCTGATTTGGGTAGTAGGTTTTTTAAACAGCACTGTTTGGGAATTTTTGGCTGATTGTATAGTGTTGCCCATTGTTTGTATTGTATCTTCTGCCCAACTATTCTGACCACTGATTTACTTTGTGTCTCTTAAAAATGCTGATTTGGGTAGTAGGTTTTACATAGAAAGGTCTCTCAACCAGAGGGTCTGCATGAATCCACAGCTTGACCTTGCAGCAATAGAGCTTCAGTTCAGCATAGCCTTAGATCTTACATTTTCAGACAAAGTCCTGCTGTTAGTAATTTTGTGGTTGAAGGAGAGGATTTGGGGCCAGAAAATGATTCCACATTTGTTCATTTGGTGTGGTAGATACATAATTTCCTGCTAACTTTAGCAAAGAGGTGGTCTAGCCTGCCGATCAGATCATAGCCACTGATGCCTCTGTGTCGCCATGGCCTTCTGAAGATTCTGGGCACTCCTGTCTTCCTCCGTGGAGGTGGGACACAGACTGTTTCCCCTTCCTGTTGACCAGCCACGTGGAGCCACGCTGATGGCAGCCAGAGCCCTGGAGATGCTTCCACCGCCACTGGATCCACAAGACTTTCCATCCACAGGCCTGTGAGCTTCCTGCATTTGGCATTATTGTATGTGTTGCATGAGTCTGAGGAGGAATTTGTAAATTGGTATCGGACATATGGGCTAATATTGAACTTACGCACTTGATCTGGGCTGGGATGTTTTCTTAATATACAATTAACTCTTTGATATAAAGCTCTCTCTTATACACATAAATGAGTGCCTCTGGATTTGTTTCTCTAGTCAACCCAGACTAACATATTATGGTACCTTGGGAGTAGGCTACTAGAAAAACATATCATGAAGATGGAGAGTGGATGCTTGCTTGACCACTGCCTCATGGTAGTTTTTCTTCTTTGGCTAGCCAGAGGTCAGAAAAGGCTATGCAGTTTACTGGGTTGTTTTCTGGGGGAGGGATATGAGAAGTTAATGCAATTTGATATTCTGATCTGATGTTATGAGAAACAAACAGTGGATATGTACTATCACTTCTAGACATGGATAGGCTAAGAGGGCAAGGACTTGGAATATGTAACATGGTTCTCGTAAACCTTGAAAGTCTCTAGCAAAACTCTCCACCATGGGAAAAATTATCCTTTCCTAGATCTCACTTATAACCCACTTGAACTCTCTCCGGCATTATTCCTTCAATGAGAACATGATTGTGACAAGGCCCAAACAGAACCACAGAAGAACTTGCTTCTTCCCCTAACAATGATCTCTCCCTTTGTGTATTCCATCACACCATGTGCCATGCAAATCCATAGTTTTGGGACTGCACAGAAAAATCACTGGTGTCTAGGACAGCCAGGAACCCTGTTTACAGTGAAGGGGCAGGATGATCCTGGAGGACCTGGGGCTCAGCCTCCTCAGAGCTGCTCTGTTTTCAGGCTCTAAAAAACTTGTTATTCAACACAAAGTTGCTAGACTCTCTGGGATGTGAAAGCCCCATGGTGCCACCTTTGAGAGTCAAACAAAAGAGATAACCCCAGGTATGCAAGGTTCAAAAAAGCATATATAGAATCAATAGGTTCCCAATGTTCTTTGGAAAACTTCCCCTTTTCAGGAGGGGTGGGGAGTTACTCAAGGTCCCCCTTGGCAATTAAAAAAAAGTATGTAATTGTTGTTATAAAATGATTATGAGATTTCTAAAGTAAACGAGCCCACCTATAATCCGTGGACAAGTGAATGGATTCTGGGGTCCCATTTAATTCTAGCTCCAATCCAAGAAAACAGTTCTTATGACATGCCTCTACTCAATACTTGCTTTCATGAAGAGACCACTGAAGATAAGGGTTCTACAGCAAAGTGTGGTAAAGAAAGAAGATGGTGCCCGGCTATCAATAAGAACTGTCTGGGGTCTTACAGGTTTGTATTCAAACAAGCAGCTATCTAAGTGAGGCATTAACTAAATTCACATGGAAGAAGCTCACCAGCCTGTGTGATTTAAAGATGATGAACAAAATCCGAATGATAGAGGGAATGGTATCAGAGCTCAAATTGTGAACACCCAGTTTTTAAAGGCTATGGAGGATGTGGTAGTCCAAATTTATCTGTAGAGTACCTATATAGATTACATCTCTGGCGCAGCCCTGATCAGACAAGGGATGTAAATAGACCTTCTATCACACAGATGATTGTACCTTGATTATAGTGGGTGGAACTCCTGTATAATAGGGTACCTAGTCAGCTGTTCACCCTCGGCCCATTCTGGATTTGTTTTAAGTGTAAGTACTTCTCACTAGTTTCTCGGTAAAGGTTTTCTTTTTAGCTTATTTTAATATTGCTAGTGGTCTTTTCTTTCCTTTTTTGTGCACAGACGGAGATGTATAGTCAATAATTGATGTAATTGCTTATCAGGGACTGGAAAAGATTGTGGTGATGTGTATACAACTCTTTTGTGTTTGTGTGTATACAGCTCTTAAGTACAACTGAATTTAGGAGTTGGGGGAAGAGCTACTTATTTGTGCATCGATTAAAAAAAACCATTTGTACTATAGCCCATATTACAAGATAAAGTGTAGATATGTTTTGGCCTCATTGGATCACTCATGTGCTGCTTGCGGGGGCAGCACTACCCACTGTGGGAAAAACTGGTATAGATAGAGGTTCCCAGTGAGAGTAGACCTGGGCCCGCAGATGTTTTTCAAGATGTAGCTCTTTGGCCTCTTACACAAACCTCTCCTTCATAGAACTAGGCAACATCAGATCATACATAACCTCACTTGCTACTACCAAGAACTACCCATTTCTCTTTGGTACTCACCATTTCTAAGGGGGTTTCTCAACCGCTAACTTAGTGTCCTCTGTAAACCCTAGAAGCCACTTATGTAAGAAAGTGACCAGTGGAAGCGAGGCCACTAGGCAGTCTGAAAGCAGATGAAGTGTTATCCACATAGCCAGTTCCAGCCTTTGAAATTCTCACTTCTGATTGCATGGATGGGCAAGGTTGTCCTTATCAGTCCCCAGCTGCCTAGACTGGATTTGTTCTGTCCCTTGCCTGGCGAGAGAAAACCTGGGCTTTCTACTCCCATAAACAGGTACGGTCTCAGAAACCCACAGGGGGTACTGAGTCAGCATTGACTCAATGGCGGTGAGTCTAGTTTGTTGTTTGGTGGCTTGCCTGAGATGAGAAATGGGATTAGGGTGGGAAGAAGAGAGTCTTGAAAAAAGAGAGTAACAGGGTCTTGGCCATTAGCTCTATTCTTGAGCAGACTTCCTAATGAGCAGTGAGGCTCCTTGCTTGCAGAAACTGGTTCGATCACTGGCATCCAATCCACAGATACTGCCTTGGTCATCCATCAGGTGCTGGAGAAACACTGGGTGTGTGCTCACAGCTGCAGAGAGATTCCAACACGAACCTGGAGGCAATTTGGCAGAGATTATTTTATTAAACTTGGGGTCTTAGAAAGGAACAGAACAGCACTGCTTCTTATAGGGAGGGGGCTGAGGGAAGAGACAGGAAGGTTTTCTCTGAGAGAAGGTTGTTCCGGGGCCCCGTTTTATACAATATTGAGCTGGGTGGGAAAGGAGCAGGGACTCCAGAGACCCACATGATGCTGACATAGCAGAAAGTCCTATACGTCAGACAAAGGGGAGGAGGGAGTTAGAGGCATTCACCCTGCCTCTGGCTGAGCAGTGGTGCCCAGCACAGGGATGGAAGGGTTTCTTTCAAGTGGACCCAAGGACATACAAGGGGTGTCTACTTAGATGCAAGGCCATTTGGGGAATATTTGTTAGCTTATGTCCCTGCCCTGTCTTACAGCCATTGAAATTCCTTCGGTGTGCCTTTACTAAATATTTCCCTAATGAAATTTGAATAAATAGGATTGTCAATTTACATCCTACTTCTGAGTCAAGCTTCCTACCTCATGCATTTGAAAACCTGTAACCATTGCAGGTGAGAGGGGATATACCCACTATATCTCACTTTTTGTAGGCCCGACCATACCCCACAAATGTCCTTCCCTGGAGAAGCACAGAAAAGGACTAACCACTCTGTGAGAGGGGCCTGGAGACTCAGAGTACCGACTACAGGCACCCACAAAGCCCTGAATCACCATTTCTCACGCTCCCTGGCTCCCTGGAAAAATGATGAGGACCATATTCCCTAACTTAGAGGGAATCTGGAAAGCTGGTATTCCACAATAGGAAAATCTCCACTTTGGTAAGTTAGAGATAAAGTCCAAGTACATTATTCCTGTTTAAAAATCATTCCTACACATTCTCCCCTTATTAAAGTGAGCACATGGTTGTTTATATCTCCTTATAGAAACAGACATTATCCTTTTGCTCTCCCCGCCATGACACCCAACCCCCCTAGGACCTTCCCCCAATGCGGGTATTAGGTTTCCTCACCTGTGAGCTCAGGGACCTTAATGTAGATACCACCCACCTTGGGATTCATGTAACTGCTGAATATGCATGTCTTAAGACTACCTATAAATGTCCCAAGATAGGAAAGGCTTGATCTCACTTCTCCCAGTTCTCCGACGCACTCAGTTCCACACCGACAGAAGCTGAGGTGAGCATACTACCATAAAATGTGTCTGGCTTTTTTTATTGCATTCTCTCTCCTATCTTATCCTCTGTGACTTTACTATAATCTTTGTATATGATCACCGTACATTTGTGCCTTCTGGGCCTTCGATTGTTGGAGGCTGGTTTCGTCTGACACATTTTGTCCAACAACACAAAAGGCGACTATGCACATAAACCTCCCCAGATGGAATCTGCAGAAATAAAATTGACTACATCTGTTGAAAGAGACAACGAAGAGGTTCAATATAAGCAGTGAAAACTAGGCAGGTGCCAACTATGGATCAGACTCTCAATGGCTCATATGTAAGTTAGAGTTAAAGATGAAGGAAATTAAAGGAAGTCTACAAGAGCCAAAATACAACTGTAAGTCTATCCCATATGAATTTTGAGAACATCTCAAGAACAGATTTGCTGCATTGAACACTACTGACAAAAGACCTGCTGAGCTGTGGGAGGACATCAAAAACAAAGGAAGTCATTAAAAAGACCAGAAAGAAAAAAATTAACATGGATGTCACAAAGTAATCTGAAACTTGCTGTGAATTGTAGAGTATCTAAAGTAAATGGAAGAAAGGATAGAAGTCAAAGAATTGAACAAAAAATTCCAAAAGACAGCTCAAGAAGATAAAGCCAAACATACTGAAATGTGCAAAAACCTAAAGTTAGAAAAGGAAAAACACACTAAACATATCTGAAACAAAAAATTCAGGAAAATATTCAGTCTTTGAGTTAAAAGTATTGAAAGATTCTATGAGCAAAATAGTAAATGATGCAAGAAGCATCACAGGAAGATGGAAAGAATACAGTGTCAATGTACCATAAAGAACTAGTCCACATTCTACTATTTCAGAAGGTAACATGAGCAAGAACCAATGGTGCTGAAGAAGTTCAAGCTACTCTGAATGCATTAGGCAAAAACAAGCC